ACTGGGGATGAAGAATTTCCTTAGTTAATCATCATGCAAATTAGAAATAATGAGCAACAACATGGAAACTAAAGGTTATCAGTTGACTGTGCAGATTCTGCAAATTTTAGTCTAGTTATTAAAGTCAATAAAATTCAAAAACTGTTAATGAAATGCAAACTGATAATAAGAAAAGACAAAAGGAGACTGGGCCAAGAATTAGAGATGCAAAATGGGTTTTTGATTTATTTTTATTCTTTTGGTAAAACCAAGATCAATTTCAACAACAGAGTAAATGTCACAAAATATGACAGACAGGATGTGAGAGAGAAAAGCTGGAAAAATAAGAGAAGAAATAAACAAAAAAGTGAAAACTCTGTGGATTTAAGCCTGCAGGCGTTTCAGCAGAGCTCGTCTCTCAGGACCAACACTGCCTTTAATGAATCCTCACCGACACACACTCAAAAAGGCATATTTTATCCTCTCGGATAAAACACACACACTTGTTGTAAAACACACACACACAGAAAACCTTTTAGAACACTAGGATAACAGAAGAAGACTTGCTCTGTGGATGAAGCTGGATGAAGGGACGGAATCAGCAGCATCACATCCTGACTTTCCTCTCACTTTTCTACAGTTTGAGGTTTTTGTCTCAGAATAAGGTTCCTGGTATTGCTGCATTTTTACATCTTTCCAAATTAAAAGCATTTATTGTTCTGCAATAAAATACAGATAGTATGATCTCACTTTGCAAATAAGTCTCCCTTCAAAAGTATATAACATGTATTACAAACAAATACAAAAAAGTAAACTCAGGTAGGGATTAGATGAGTCAATATGTATTTGATGATTGTGCAACTAAAGATTGTTGAAAGAAAACATAGCTGTCCTCTGCTTCAATACATAACTTATCACTTGTTTGATGAAAACAGACCTCCAGGAAGAAGCAGCCTGTGATTTGTCTCAGATCTCCCTAACTGGGACTGTAGTCACATCCAGGCGCAGAGCAACTCAGTCTGCAGCGGGAAAACATTTCGTTTTGTTCAGAGTTTCTCTTTGCTGTGGAGAATGGCTGTTTACAGAGCAGGCAGTCTACAGTAAGCTTCAAAGTGGTGCATTTGATACTATGAAGCTTAGTGTCAAATGTTAGTGATTGGGTAAAATTCAAAACATCAGCAGAGTCCATTAAGGAATTGTTTCTGAACAGCAGAAAGCCTTGACAAAGTGGACTGGTTCTTACAAACTCCAGTTCTTTAGGCACCAACAAGACCTGACGTTTATCAGCATCTCAATAAAGAAACATGAATGTTGGGCAGCATGAAGCAGTGGGGTAGCAGAGGGTTCCAGTCTGAGTCCTTTGCAAACTAATTTGGTCAAATGATAGAGTTCAGAACTGAAGTGCTGAAAGGATAAACATGAGAACCAGCTTGACTAATCTTATCAGTTAGGAGATTTATTTTTCACATCATTACGATTAAGACAGATAGCTTGGTTAAAATATGTGATAAATACCAATGATCAATAAATGAGAAGTGTGACAGGTGATGAAAGGAGAAAAAAATTAATGGTGAAAAAGATGAGAAAAAGTGAAGTGAAGAGACTCAACTTTAAAAGGGAATAGAACTCCTTTAATCGAGCAGTCTCTCTCCTGCAGCCTCAGGCTAGCCTCCAGCACTCCCTTTCTTCCCATCTCCATCTATTCTCCTTCTCTCCCTCTGTCCTTCATTAGTGAACAATCAGTGAGGGAGCCATTTAAAATTGAAGGAGACAAAGAGTAAGGTTTATCATACAGACTGGAGGGTTTTTTTGGTCATCTCAGACTACATTTTCCTACATTTGTTTCACCCAGACTCCACCCCCCGAATGTTTTTCAGCTACTGTCACTGAAGTTGAACTCCAACTGAGTGATATGAACTTTCTGGAAGTGTTAGGAAAATTTACATTGTTCCTATTTGAACAGAAAAGATGCATGTAAAACTGTTTTCCTTGTCATACTGTGTGTAGTGAAGAGACGTAAAGAAGGTATCCTGATTCAGGCCCTGACTCCACAAACTGACTCCTCCTGATGCAGAGGAGTGGATGACTGAGCTTGAAGATTTCCAAAAAGCCACAGAACCTCAAGAAACCAAATAATAGATGTCAACAGTTAGAAACAATTCCTGCTTGTTATGGGCAGATCATCAGCTGCTGGGTTAAAACTTCTGACCTACTGTAATGTTTCTCAACAACAAAATACTGGTGAAATCAGCAAGACCTTCACAAAAAAGTGGAGCATTTTAAAACAGATTTGTGTGACAATGGTTGCAACTGCATTTCTAAACTTCTGAAAAGTCCAGCTGGTCATTGGAGACAAAGCAAATCAGGCACAGTTCATCATACCATTTCTGACAAAGGTGTCAAAATAATAATCAAGAGTTGTCTCAGACTCAAGGAGCAATCACAGACAGATTTAGAAAACCTGGAAAGAAGAGAAAAGATGCATGTAAAAAGAGGCAGAGAGACAGAGGGAAAATAACTTGTTTGCATGTTAAGGTAGAGATGGTGACCTACTGTAATGTTTCTCAACAACAGTTGAGAAACAACTGTTATTCCCATTAATGAACAAACATACATGTTAGACATTTTTTTGTTGTTGAAAAGAACAACCCAGGCAGGAATCACAAGAGAGTCTCTCTAGATCTTTAACGATACTTGCATTAATTGAAAGCAGGGAGAAAATGTAATGAGTTCCACTGTTGGTAAGTCAGAGCGTTCTGGTCTTGTTTGAATCTACTTCCTACGTTCCTTCACAGCTGTCAGGTGGATGTTTTTCAGCCCTGAAAATGCCTAGAAATGATGGTTCCTCATCTCGTCTCAAATATGAAACAAACTTATGAACTTAGTCTTTCGACATACAATAAGTGCTGCGATGTTTCACTTCAACTTTCATTGTGTCGCATTTTTCCAAAACTATGTTTCCAAATATGAGATCAAATTGTGACAAATGAGTAAATGATCAATGTCAATGTAGCCAATAAATGTCATAAACTCTTAGTAGAAAACAACATGAGTTAAACATTTTTCCAAATGTACTGTTAGTAATTCGCACACAGAACAACTTTCAAGAGAAGTGGAAAAATTTTGATCCAAAGTGCCAAGAATGATAAAGTTTATAATGATTCTACATTCCTTTGAATTTTTTGGATTGTTAAGGTGTTTGTTCATCTGGTGAAACAGTAACATGTCTGTTGCTGTGGATTCTCCTTTAAACTAGGTGAGGACCAGATATCTAATTGAGATGTTTCATTTTGAGCGAGTTGCTGGAGAATGAAGGATGGCTTCAGAACAAAGTCATTCTCATTGATGGTGTGTAGTTGAGCTGTTTTCGGAGGAGTCAGTTATTTTGGACCTGAGCTTGTGTTTAGATTTCACCTGCAGAAACAGTTCACTCCAGCGGTAGCTCCTTCCACGTTTCATGGTGTGTGTGGTGTGTGTCCTCTTCCGTTGGGCATGCTAATACAGCCAGCATCTCTCTGAGGACCTGCCGTCATCTGAACAGCCACCACTGCCATGCTTGTGCACATGTGTCTGATGGTGTGTGTGTGTGTGTGTGTGTGTGTATTCATTGTGCTGTTATTTACTCTGTTGTACAAACAAAACAAGGTCACATTCAAGGTGACATGATCTCACCATCTCTACCTTAACATGCAAACAAGTTATTTTCCCTCTGTCTCTCTGCCTCTCCCCTCCTATGAATAGGCAAATAGAGAAGGAATAAGCAGCAGCCGTCCAACCAAAGTCAATTACTGAAGCCCTGGGGATGTCGTCTTAAACAATGCTATTAGATTCTAATAGTTTTTAATTACTGGCCTTCTTTTTATATAAATCAGCCCTCGCTTTCTCTCTCTTTCTTCTCTGTCATGGAAAGCCTATTTGTGTCCGTAATTAAATTGAGGAGCGGGATATGAATTCAGAGGCCTTCGCTTCTCGTCTCTGACTGTTTCTGTTTGAGCGGCTCCTGATTAATGCCAATACATATTGCTTGAGATAACCATTTAGTGGTTAATTTAGCCAAATTTATTACCCGCGTGCTGTCTCAGGGTGAAGCGAGGTTTGGGTGTTGGGTGTGGGTTGGGGGTTGGGGTCCACCTTTAAAATGGAGACATGTGGTTGCTGAAGTGGCACAGCGATGTCTGGTGGAGAGCAGGAGTATTACTTTTATTCACTTATTCAGTGAAAAGCTCATGTTGCGTGTTTGGAAAGTAAAAGAACTGACCGTGATGTGATCCTGATAAACTTACTTTAACACACTGAAGAGGTTTAAGTCTCTTAATGACACTAAAAAGTTCAAATCTTAGCTGTATAATAAGGTTTTTTTGTTTCTGAAAGGATGATAAAAACTAGCAGTACAGAGGTTAATGAATCATGACTGAATATAATCACCTTTGTCTCTGTTTTTCTTTGTTCTTATCTGGGGTTGTGGGAGAGCAATTGGTGCCACTAATAGGTGTGTAAGAGGACTCAACATAGACAGGCTAGCAGTAAGTGCTAGTTCTTACTGAATCATATGTTCCGGATGTCATCTTCTTGTCACTGCAACTCTCCATCTGGCATTCCCGTCCTCAAAAGCTTTTCTTCTTTGATCTGTCTTGTTTAAGAACTTATTCAGCTTAAAGCTGCAGCATCTAGCGTTTATATGAAAAAAGTTTTTTACATATTTATTAAAACTGTTGCTATGTTGTCACAGTTTAATATGTGACAGATAATCTGAAAAAACGTTCCTCTGCTTCTTCCTTGTGGTCGTAATGTCATCTGCAGAAATATGCAGCTCAGTCTGAATCAACTAATCAGAGCGAGGAGGAGGGTCTTAGCGCTGTTCATCAAGTCATCAACAAAACTGATTCCAATTCTGTCAAATAAACCAATTTTGATAAGGCTAAAAACCACCTGAGCCCAAGATTAAGACCTGCAACAATTTAGCTGAGTTAACATAAAACAAAAGCTTAATAATTTTCTTGTGTCTTTCTGTCTCTCTCTAGTGATGAATAAAGGTCAATGTGTGACAAAGTATTATCGGTGGATTCAGAAGAACGGTGGTTACATCTGGATCCAGTCCAGTGCCACCATTGCTATAAATGCCAAGAATTCCAGTGAGAAAAACATCATTTGGGTCAACTACGTCCTCAGGTCAGACAAGACTCACTACTGGAAATATTGGACAGTAACTGCAGCAATACCCCTCTCATTTTGAATTATCAATTGTCAGTAACAGTTTTCCTGTTTTTCCTCACAGTAATCCTGAGTATAAAGACACACCCATTGACATTGCCCAGCTGCCAAATCTTCCAGAGAAAGCCTCTGAGTCCTCCGAAACCTCCGACTCTGAGTCTGAGTCCAAAGAGAACTCAGGTATGTAAGTGATAGCAGGGTGGAGGAACAGGTCCACGTAATAAATCTAGAGTTATAGCTGAAAAACAAAGGAACAAAAAAAAAGGATTACAAAGTAAAATATTATTGAAATGTTAAATAAAATGTTTGGGTTGTTTTTGTTTTGTTTTGTTTTTTCAATGTTTTAAAGTCAGACCACAACAGAGATGTAGTCTTCATGTATAGAAAGTTGTGAAAAAAACAAGTCAAAATCCAAGCGATAGGTAAGAGAAGTCCCAGATATTTAATCAGTCGGTGCCAGTGTGCGGTCTGTTCCAGGCTGAGCGGTGGTGTGTGCCAGCAGCTGCAGGGACTGGGCTCTCACTGGCAGCCCAGCCTGCTGCCGCAAAATGACAACATGATCAAATATGTTCAGACAAAATACACAAAGCTCTGCAAATTCAACAACTTCTCAAAATACTTCAAAATATTTCTAAACAGTGTAGAGCAGAACGTATTTTTGAGAAGAAAAAAACACATTTGTAAAATTCCAAATATGACTTAGAAAATGGGCAAAGAATTAAAAATAAATACTAGAGATAAACGTTTATCCTTAAGAGAGCTTTGTTAGTTCAAACACCTTAGAGACAGAAGGACACGCTGACCTGTGGAGCCAGTGGACCTTATAGACAGTTTATGTAATTCTGTTGATATCTCATCCCCAGATTCAAACCTGCAACAAAATGGTTCTACTTCCAGGTCATTTGAACAACTGTTCAGTAAATAAACACAGGTGACAGTGAGAGAGCTCTTTGTGTGGTCAGTTACTTCAGAACCTTTCAGTTGCTCTGAGACTATTGGACCCAGTTTGTCATGGGTTACCCGACCAGGAGCTTCTACTCCTGACATGGAGCAAATAATAATTAGTCAGAGTTGTAGCTATCACTATATTTGTTGAGTTGGAAATCTACACAAACCAGCAAAGTTTTTATAAAAGCCTTAGAATCAATAGTAATTGAAGCGTCTTTAAGGTCATTCACATTACTTGAACAGAAATTTAGTCAATTTGCTAACACCATTACCTTCCTGTGAGTTGTTCACAACTTAAAAAAAACATCTTAAACATTATTGTTGCATTATATCTTTGTTGCAGCCAGCACTAAGTGACTTAGAGCTTACACATTGTAAGTGAATTTAAACCAAGACAGCCCCTCCACTTCAAGCATAATACCATCAAATCCTAAAGCCTGTGTTGGCACAGTGGATCTCAGGGCCAGCTGGTATTTTTGCTAGAGGATAGAGATTCTGGCAGGCTGCTGGCTGTAAACTGATGCCAGCTGCAGCAGGAGGGGGCCAGCTTCAGCAAATGTCCAACAGGCCCAAGGTGCTCTGATTCAACATGTTCAAAAATGAAACAGATGCCCTTTGACCTTTCTGCCGTTAGATGGCAACCAAAATGAGAAGATGTGTCTGTTTTGTTTACAGCTGTTACAGAACAATCGACACCAAAGTCTAATTGAATCCACACAAAGAACATCCCCCTGCTTCAGTTTGAAATCCTCTCTTTTAGTTTCCGTCATGCATTTAGCTTTTATCTCCTGTGTTTGCAAATGCTTACAAAAATGTTGCAATACCTTGGAAGTCAGACTGAAACAACGGATCTAAAGATTTACCACCGCTGTGCATCTCTGTGACTCCACTGCCTCTCTGTTAAGGCAGCTGTCTTTAGTCCACACCTGAGCTTATAGGCAGAATGTCAGTCATGTTGCATCCCAAACGAGTTGCCAGTAAAGCAAACAAAATCTCTGGATGTTCAATAAATAGATACATTGATTAAGGAAATGGTAAATGAATTATACAGAGATGTTTTTCCACTTAATCTGTTTTGCTTTCATCCAAACTGATTCATTAGGCGCTCCAAACAGAGCCAACTGGGCAGTGCTTTGTTTGTGCTGGTATAATATGTGTATTGTTTGTGTGTAATTGGCTGGACAAAGCCAACATGACTAAACAAAAACAGATGGTGAACACAGCAAATACAGAAAATAATGCAGTTAAATTCTGAACAAATTGTCTCAAGACACTTTACAAAAAAGGTCAATTCAATTATTATTATTATTATTATTATTATTATTATTATTATTATTATTATTACTAATATTGACCATTATATCAACAGCAAATCCCATTGAGATTAAAAATCTCTTTTACAAGAGAATCCTGGCCAAGACTGACTTTACAGAACATACAGTCACACACATACACATCACAATTCATCCTAGTTATCAAACAGTGCTTTAAGCTCAGTTTCTCAAACGTTTTCCGGCTGAGAACCACTTCACCTATTTAACAAACACTCACAGACCACCTAACTTTAAATATACCTCCACAAAATGCTTGACGTGACCTTCACGTGCATCAAGCAGTCGGACGATGTGACCTGGTGCTACGTAGAAAGGCTGATAACATCTCTACCTACATCTACAATCACTATATGTTGTGATCTTCTTGGGGAGGCAGGAGGTCTGGTTAACTGTGATGGAAGCTCCCCTGGATGATGGAAGAGGAAACTCTGCTTTCTGCTGGATGTCATGTCTTCTTATGTAGATAACTTGTCTAATATTTTTATTTCAACCATCCTATTGTTTTTTTACAGACAATGAAAATACCAAGTCTGAGGGAAAGCCAGGCCACCAAGCAGAACACAGAGAGGATCCAGAAGCAGACAGCAAACGTCAGCAGCAACCAGGCCAATCACATTGCTCATCCGAGGAAATGAAGAACCATGACGATGGAGACAGTTCAAGTAACCCTGAAAGTCAGGACAGTGATGACAGCCTGGAGCCCTCAGATGGAGAGCAGGAACAGGAGCAGGAGGTGGTCCGAGGAGAGGGGGGAGGACTGGAAGGCAGGTTGGGGAGATTAGCTGGACTGGGAGCACTGGAGGGACTCAACACCATCAGTGGACTGGGGAGTTTGGGAGGGCTCCATATTAAGGTAGAGCACTATGGAGAAGGAGAGGAAGAACTCCACAACTCACAAATGTCTTCATCAGAGGATGATGAAGAAGAGGAAGAAGAGGACATTGATGAGGTGGATGATGAAGGAGTACAAAAATGTGACGATGCCAGTGCTGGTAGCAAGCTCCAGAAAAGGCAGAAAAGGAGAAAAGTGCAAAAATGGGATGGAACACGAAGCAGGAGGCTTCGTCTTTCCACAACTCCCTCGAGCCCAGCAGCAATAGGCGACTCTACACCACAGGCCAATCCCTCAGGGGCCACTTCCATCACTTCCACACCGCTTCTAACTTCGTCCGACTCCCCAGACAGCACAGGAACCACATCCTCTGTTCTTAAAATCAAGACAGAGATGGCAGAGCCTATAAACTTTGACAATGACAGCAGCATCTGGAACTACCCACCCAACAGAGAGATTTGCAGAAATGAGTCTCCATATAGCATGACCTCCAAGCCTCCTGCTGCAGGGAGTCAGGAGACATTCCCTTCCCCACAGGGTGGCTCTCTACAGGTAGCCATCCCTGACTCGGTCCTCACTCCTCCTGGACCCGAAGGGGCAGCAGGTGGGGTGAGAAAGCCTCCATACAACGGAAACTCCGCCTCGTCCTCTTCTTCCACTGCTACGAGTTTAGCTCCTCCTTCCATCACTTCCTCCGCTGACCCCCTTTCCCCTCCGCTCTCTGCATCCCCCCGGGACAAGCAACAAGGTACTCCTACGACATCCTCAAACTCTTCCTCATCCTCCTCTTCAACTTCAAGCTCTTCTTCACTGCTGTATTCTGGGGATCTTGAAGCACTTCAGCGCTTGCAGGCTGGTAATGTGGTCCTTCCGCTGGTTCACCGCGTCACAGGAACTCTGTCTTCTACCAGCACCACGACGCCTCGTGTCTACACCACCGGCACCATAAGGTACGCGCCAGCAGACGTCACTTTGGCCATGGCACAAGGGAACCTCCTTCCCAATGCTGCCATGAACTTTGTGGAGAGCTCAGGGTTTGGTCTGGACCCTAAGACGCCTATGGAGATGCTCTATCATCATGTCCACAGGCTAAACATGTCCGCTGCAGCAGCTGCAGGCCCTTTTGTTGGATCCTCTGCGCCTGCAGTTGGCAATGGCAGCTTGGGAGGCCAGATGTCAGCGACAGCCAACGTTTTCACCACAGCGGAGGGACTTTTCTCAACGCTACCGTTCCCCGTGTACAGCAACGGGATCCACACTACGCAGACAACTCTGGAAAGAAAGGAGGATTAATGAAATACATCCAAGACCGCATTACTGTGTTTAAAGAATCAACAACTGTTTCTAACTCAAAGACTACTCAGTAGTAAAAAATAGTAAGAAAGAATTTATCAGCGTGGAGCAGCACTGTGTTTCCAAGATGGAACAAAAGACAGGAACTGTCAAATGTACTCTAGCACTTTGAGCAATTGAACTTGTGGAAGACATGAGTGGCCCTCACACACACACACCCCCACACACACACACACAACCCTTTTCTATTAATTTTCTCTATCACCAATCTCTTTGCTTCCATTTATTGTAATCAACAATTTTTTTTCTTTTAACAAATGAACAAAAAAATAAAAAGCAACGATTCTTTACTGTAAAGAATTCCTTTTTGCCTACAGAGAATTCATGTTGCCTAAGGATTCCACTGGAGCCTGAAGGGAATCATTTTATATCACTTGTTTTGGTTGCATCTTTATGAAGATGTTGATTGTGCATACTTTCAGGAGGTTGGTGCAGGTATTTGTGACACACTGGAAATGCTTTGCCTCTCTTTCTTCTGTATCTTGATGTGATCAAGGCTAAAGAAAAAGAGTTTTTAACCTGAGAGGAGAGAGGGCAGCTGTCTCAGAGATAATCTTTTCACAAAAGGTTTTTGCGAATGTTTCTCGATTGAGGGGACAGTAATCGATGCTTTTTCCTGTTCTATTTCTTCCTTTTTATGAAATATTCTAGCTCAGATGTAACTTTGGAATCAAACATTATACAGAAAAACAACAAAAAAAGCAATTTCAGCCGGGTAAAGACCTGTGAACTATCGAATGTTACTACAAGTTTCCTCATTTATCTGAGGAGTTTACCTACAGGTCTCACACCAAACATAACCTCCACTTCATCTACTCCCATCTCAGTCTGTCGAGTTTTTGTACCTTCACTCTGCTTATATGACCTTTAACTTTCAGTCCACATTTGTCTGGTAATTCTACAGATTTGTGGTGCTAACAAATGTCCAGTTACCCAGATTCAGCTGGCTGATGTGGGTACTGTAAATTCGGTCCTCCTGTCTTTCCTCCAGCTTGATTAATGTTCTTTTTATGACTAACCTTCAGGAATCTCAGAATACACACAACAATGTAGAGCTGATCAGTAGATGTTTAGGCTCTGCTGCTCTTTTTATTTCTGTATATTTGATAAGTGAGTCACTTTCAATTCTCAGTTAAACTGAGGCTAAATACTTAACATTGCAAACTTAAAAAAAATGAATGTTGACAACCTTGACAGGATCTTGATTTCCTGTTCCGTTTGTTTGTTTGTTTGTTTGTTTTTTTATGCTCTCCTTTTTCTTCCTGAACCAGAATCACCTCCACAACATTTTCCTCAACAATCCACTCTCTTCCATCCCATCGCCAGAACCTGTGATTAAAAACTACATATCAACAAGGAGATTGTAATAAAGACATGCATTTTCAATCAATCTGTCAAACAATCAATGTACAACAGGAGTAAAGTGGGATTTCCTTTATTTAGATGATTAGAAAAAGAGAAAATCCCTCTTCTTAAAAAAAAAAAAAAAAAAAAAAAAAAAAAAAAAGCTTTGTTTTCGCTCTGGTTGTGTCTTTCTTCCCCCAGCCTCCTTTGCCAAAAAAAAAAAAGAAAGAAAGAAATGCTAAGTTCACACATTTGGGTGTTTTAAAAGCACTGTGATCCTTGCTCATTTGTAATTTTTTGGTAAAAAAAAAAAAAAAACATACTAAATCAAACTGTAATAAGCTATCACAGTGTCAATCTTTTGAAAGTTGACAGCCCTGTCTTTATCATCTCGTCATCTTATTACCCCGTGTGATTAAGCCGTAAAACCGTGTTACCGATGTGTTTAGTGTCACTGGCTGTCAAAACGTCTTTCATGGCAACTTCTCTGTGTGTGTGTTGACTATATGCAGTATATACTGAGCTACTGTAGCTGTTTTTGTCCTTTGTCTTCTCTGTGCTCTATCTCTAGTGTGGTGAAGGAGAGGAAGTGGCGTCAGAGGGAAAAACTGTCAGCTGGATGAATTCTAATCTAAACTCTGCCTCTCTGCTTCCTTCTCCTTCTCCTCCGTTTCCCTCTATCTGCAGTCTTAGTGAAACCAGTGGAGGTTGTGGAATTTCGTGTTTGGTGGCCTTTGCAAAAAAGAAAAAAAAAACAGGAGTAAAAATTGGTAGAGTCCACCATTTACTTTTTGCTGCTTCCTTTTTGTCTTTGTAAAATTGCATTTTTATTTTCTAACCCTTCTCTCTTTCACTCGACTGTTGCTTTTTGCTGTTGTGTAGTCTTATTCAAACCTCTTTATCTTGTTGTCTTTTCTCTCAGAGATGAAAAGAATATTTAACTAGCTCAAAGGTTTATGGAGCCATGTATTTGCCTCTGAGGAATTCTGGGACAGGTTTCCTGCTCATGAACCCAAAAGAACATAATAAGAAATATTTATATTATTTAAATTGTGTAGGAATAATGTCATTTACATAATTTAATATAAAGTTTGATGAGGAAAAATCTGAGGAAGGACTTTAAATATACTGTGAGGTGAAGGTTAAAAATGACCACAGCCTGGACTGTGAAACATTTTCCCAGACTTCCTGGAGGTGTTTTCTGTGCATTGGGTGTATTTCAATGGTCCGCACCAAAACGTCTTGAACTCCCAGTCAAATTTGTCTTTGGGAATCAAACTGACTTAGGTTTCAAGGGATTTGAAAACATCCACAATTCTCTTTGAAGACACAATAATAAAAAATGAACAAAAAAACAGTTTTAACAATTTCTATAAATATTAAAAGCAGGAAAAAATTTTCTCACTATAAATCTATTTTTCTAAGTGTTTTGGAAAACTGAAATGCATGTTTAGTAATTTTGTCCATTTACTGTGAACAATCCCATTTTTGATTTTTTATTATTATTTTTAGTCCAATAGCTGTAATTTTACTTCGTGTTTGATTGTTTTTGTTTTTCATGTCTGGAATATCCATTATGTGGATAAAATGGAGGCCTTTTGAAAGATGAAGGTTTGCTGAAGTTCAGCAGACCATGTCTCTGATCCAGCCATCACATCTGGACAAAACAAACCAGCTGTCACATCTTGTGTTTATCAGTGTTAAGATTGTTTTTTTTTCAGGAGCAATTTCTTTCCACCCTCTGAATTTGAACATTTTCTATGTATGGATTCAAAGGCAATGGAAGAGTGCAAGCATGTAGAAAATACTTTAGCGCGTGTTCAATGGGAGGCATATCACAAATGAAACCAAGAAATACACCCAAATGTAACTAAAACTGAACAGCTGCTTCAAGCTGTTTTAATGTTTTTCTGTGTTTTTTGTCGAAAAATGAAAACTTTGCTGGTGATTTTAAACCATAAAAAACCTTAATCACAGCTGCTGTCAAATACATAGTGTTTAAAATTTTCAAATATTGAAAAGTCATCTCATTCACCTGTGAAGAAACTGTGTCTGTGTTTTTAACTATTTCTTGTACAATTAAACAGATTCTTTTATGAGGAACCTGGTGCCAAGTAGCTGAAATACGGGAAAGCGGGAATCTCTTATTATCAGTGTTAACAGTGTTATAAAATTCTAAATACAAACAAATTAAAATATTAAAAAAGAGAAAACTATGCTACTATGGTTTCTATTTTTTTGTGTATATTTTTATTTCCCTTGTAAAGGAGTCCAAACCTCATGACAAACTGATGCTAACTGTGAGTGCCTGGCTTATTTTTATCTTACTTTGAAATTACATTTTCATTTGTCATAAATAACGCTGCAAATCAAAAAATGTACATATTTCATTTTTTATAGCTATGTTCCTTTTTAAGTTTACTAGGTTCTCATCTGTTCAAAAGAACGTCACATACATGGTTGTCTTTCTGTAACCCAATTTTGACCATCTTGCAGGTGCCATATTCATAATAAAAGGTTCTATTAAATTGGTTACCAGATTGCATCATTTCTTCTGTTCCACATTTAGCCATCTCACTCCTCACCAGACTATTAACGCTCCCACTCACTGAGATGTAGGTTTGTTTTGTCTTCTTTTTCCTTCATGTCTTCTGATTGATGTTTGTGATCAGCAAGGTAAGTGGAACTTTGTCCTTCAGGTAATGTAAGGAGCTTTTTTACCGTGGGTTCACATTTACATCCTTCCATCTTCAAACAACACCTCAAATTCTCTTATACGCCAGCAGCCAGTAACTAGGAAATACAGAGGTACTTCCTAATACCTGTAAGAGGTAACTAGGGTGCTAGGTAATGGATTAGATCCTCCAATTAAACCTGTACCTCTGGATGTGGCTTCACTCCGCTGTGAGGCCCAGACGTTGCAATAAGCAAGTGTGAGAAATGAGAGATCATATGATAAAGCCGGTAATACAAATTCTTTGCTTCTTCTGTGTTGCCTGACACTTGTACTGTGACTCAAGCAAGAGAATTTGAATCCACATTTTGTGTGTTTGCATAGTCATAAATGCATGCTGACAACATTTATGTATAAATGTACTCATATATCCACTAAGAAGACAATGTAAATGTAGTGTGTCTTGGTTGATCTTTTTGAAAATGCAAATGTTGTGCTTGTACATTTTCCTGTCCTTGAAGATTGATTCCAAAGTTTCTGCAATACGCAGAAACCTGGTTACGAGATAAAACCAATTAATAATGTTCTGGTCAAGGTTTGCATACCACCACATAAGATGCTGGAAAATAGCTTACTAAACTGATAAAAGACATGGAGAAAAAACCCTAGAATCTCTCATCAATGTTCTTTAGGATTTAAATAGTGCAAACCTCTCCAATGAAAGAGGTTTGGACTACAGACAGCGTCACGTGTCCCAGCAGGAGTAAAAACTGGCTTTCGAAGATTCATATCTGGCTGTCTGCAGGGTCGTTTTGTGACTTTCTGATCATCACTGTCTTTATCTCATTCCAACCTATTGGCAGAAATTGAAATATTCCAGTGTTTTAGACCACAAGGGAGTGAATGGAACAGTCAAAGTAAGAGCTAGGTCTATGCTGAGTGTTTTTGAAGCTTCAGCCACTGACCTGAATGAGTTTTGCGGAACCTGTGACTTCTTACAGCTATTTTTGTGAGAACATGTGTGTTTTCATAGCAACATTAAACTATGGAAAACTTCATATCTGAGGATGTTAAGCAGGTCCAATGCAGTCCCCCAGAACTGACGAGAAGCTTAAAGCGTTTGGAATGGTCTGAAAGACTAATTAATTAAAGGGGCACCCCCATCCCTTTAATCCCTGAGCAGAATCTAATTTGCTAGATTACCTTAACAGGTTCTCCTGCAGGTTTGGAAAGCACCTGTTTATATCTGTTTACAGTTTGTCCACATCAGACCTCCTTCTGAGGAGGATGTAAAAAGTTTCTTCTGTTAGCACATCAAGTTTAACATGTTAAAACAAATACTGGTTGAATTAAACTTGAACAAACAAAAGCACAGTCTGATCCTGGGTTTCTGAAACAGCCCAGACAAGATATATAAGATAACTCAGTCATCAAAAATGTAGTTTTTGCTAAACCTTGTGGGTTAACATTGTGATTGAACTTTGAGTAGCTTTTTAAAATGTTACTAAATGTAAGGAGCTGAAGGACGGTGTCCTCTTATAACCTTGTACAAAACTTACCTTCATTCTAATCACAAAATGGCTAAGATGAAACATAAACTGAGCAAACCAAAAGGCAACAAAATCATTATGTCTTTCTTCCATCTTGCGTCCAGTTAGTACTTCTCCAGTCTCGGCTGTCTTCATATCCTTTTTGCTTAAAACGCCTCCCGTTTCTTCCATCTCGTCCTCCATGCATTAATAAGTGGAGAGAGGTTAGTCATTGGACCCTCAGAGGGCCAACCAGCTAACTTTAAATATTTCACTCTATTTTAAATGAGCGCACATGAATCATAGATCACAGCTAGTGCTGTGTGCGTGCCCATGTGTGTGTGTTGTGGTGCTCCAACCTGAAACTCCTTTTAATAACCTCTGGCTGTCCATCTCAGTGAGAAGGCCTGATGTTGAATTTAGATCCAACTGCGTCAGACGTTCACCGCAGGCGTAACGAGCAGCCTTTCATCACAAGCCGTGATGGACAGATGATGAAACAAAGCGTTAGAGATGAAAACATGGCCTGTTTTTCATCTACACTTTCACATGGGCTCCTACTAATTCCCAACATGCAGAAGAAGTAAAAACATAAAAAGCTGTATAAGTATTTTGAAGACAGACCATCTCTTAACATAGAGGGCTGTTACATTTTGAAGATGAAAGCTGATATCTAGTGGTGCTGCTGGATGTCACTGGGGCTGAAAGTTCATGTGTGACAGCAAGGTACTGGGATAGCAAGTTTCAGGCATGGATTTCTGTGAAAAGCATTTATATGTATTTGTATTTGTTCAATTCATTTGACTGTATTGTGTTGTGCATCAACAGTTAGGAGAGCTAAATGTTTGATTTTAACATTAAAATCTACTGAACAGTCCAAACTTGTGATAGGTCAGAAGGCTAACCTTTTCCTGGGTAAGAATGTTTATGTTTATATATGATAAATAAATACATTTTTTTGCTGTCAGATTTTGAATTAAGGAGAGTTCATCAGAATGGACAAGACAGGCCACGATCGACGCTAACCCACCATGTTTATCTAATTTTAAACTGCCACACCATTAACATGCTTTACATGTTCTTATTTTAAATATGTTGTTTTCTTGATGCCGTACATGGGACCTGCATGGAGCACTAGCCATCCCTGAACATTGTTACCACTGCTCAGTGCAGACATGGGACTGCTTGTTGAATCTCAGCTCATTTGGTGGTGCTTCCCAGCAGAATAGCCAGCGTTCAGTTCAGATTCTGCTACTAAGCAGATCACTCACAAATACCACTTTATCCCTAATGTCTCTTTCCAAATTCACTTCCTGGATTGGATAATGTTGAGAGAAACGTGGATTAAAGTGGGTGACAACAGCGTGTTCTCAGAGCTGCTCGTTCTTCAGCTCCCCACATTCTACCAGAATGATGCTGGGATTGCCACAGTCCACAGAAATTATTTTTATTGCAGCATTTACAGTGACTTCGTCTTCTTTTGACAGATGGTTTTTTTTTTGTGGATGTTTGTTGCTGAGCTCATATATCCTGCTGTGTGTGAGGTTGTTTACTACCCACCACAGTACAATATGGATTTTATTCAAGACTTTTTTGAGTAATAATTTTGATAATGCCTGATAATCTTGTAAACTGTGATGGTTTCTAAACATGTGTTGCTCTGCTAAGTCATTGGCTTCTGAGTTTTTAAGGCTTTTAGTTTCTTGCAATCAGTCTGTTTGTGGTTCGACCCGTCTACTCAGATAGACTCTGGACCTCGTTGTTTCATGCTGTGACATTTCTCAGACTGCTACTTTAGATCATTTTCCCAGCTTGACTGAATTTACAGCTCTCAGCAGTTAGTGAACCACTGTTAGCAGGTCGCTTCCTCTCCTCTGTTACTGCTCAGCAGCTTATTACAGTTTTCTCCTGTAATCAGAAGCTCCTTTTGTCCTATTGACTTAACATCACCTGTGTTCAAAATCAATTGTGTGATTCTGGACTTTGTTGCTCCCAATAAATATAAGAAGTCTAATCCTGATGTTGAACCGTGGCTACACGACAAATTTCCAACAAAGGCGGTGGGTGGTAACAGGTGGTTTGATTTGCACACACTTCCAACCAACTTGATTGTTTTGTAAGAATATATACTGTATGATTTATTTATTGTGAAACAATGACTAAAAATGTCTTGTAACTTCGTCGAAAACAAAATATAATCTCAATTTGACGTTTGAAGCTCTGAAAGATGGTCAGAAAATCATTTACAAAATTTCTCGTCAACACAACAGACATTTACCAAACAATAGACCTCCACCAAGTTCCCAGTGTGTTCTTAATTACTCAAAGTAATGGGAGGGTCTAGCAATTAACAATGGAATCTAAACAATTCCAAATATAAAAATTAATTACGAGTTTTGGTTCTAAACTAACTTAAATATATTCTAACTACCCAAAGAAGAAAACTAAATTTGTAGAAATTACATTGCACAAAAATTTTGCGTAAATGGCCACAACATGGTGCTTGTGAACAGTAACAGGAACCTCATCAGTGAGTGTCTTTCCAACATGTCTGTATTCCTCCAGACCATGATGGCACTGGATGGACATCACATTAATTTATTGTATTAATGTGAATTAGGCATGCAGTAACTGAGCCAAAATCAGGCAGAGAGGAGAAAAATATATTTGCAAGAGGAACATGATGATAGCTGGACAGGAGCTGTGGTATGGTGGGACACAGACCTGATGTTGGCTCCTATAAAGCTCAGCTCCATGTTTTGACACTTGGTCAGGCAGCTCTGGATCCAGAACATGATTCATCCCAACATATCCCATCCTGTTTGGTCAGATGGGATAATATCAGGTTTCAAATGAACACCTGGCGCAATCAGACATCAAGCATTCTATCATGTACTTACCTCCATCCTCTCTTATCCTCAACCCTCGTGAAGAGTTTTGTTTGGTTTTGTTTTTTCTAAAAGAAGGTTTATCAGAGACATCTTTCTGCAGACCATGGATAATGTGTGGAGTGAAATTACAGCAGATCAATGTCAAATATAGATCAATTATGCCAAATGATATTTTTCCACGATGTTTTGTTGGGAGATCTTTGTAATGAGAATTGACAACTTGTTGCCAAATATACAAGGCAAAGGACTGTCAACTTAAAGCTCTTAATGGAAACTCCTTTGAATGTTTTAGGTGAGTGTTTATTATTAGTGTTTATTATATTCAGTCTTTTATGTACCACCTTAAAAAATCTAGAAAATGTAAAAATCTGTAACTCAGAAAATCATCAGTCACGCTCACACCACCAAATAATCATCATCCACTGATGGAAGTGAATCT